GATTTTTTATACAATCGTATTATTATTTATTGCCATATGACAAACCAATATCTATTCGAACTAAATAGTTGGGTAGATAACGCGTTATACGTTCGAAGCAAAGGCAGTGGGTTCGAATCTCGATATAAATATCAACAGTGTGATTCAGGTTCGTCCAAATGATCAGTTTCATATAGTACGAAACGCTCAGCTGGGATATCTGTGTTAGCCACTGTCCTTCTCTGCTTGAGATATGTATTTCGTATGTTAAGTTTTGAATGCTGCTAATATTCTACTCTTTATTATTCGCTTTTTCCTTTTACCTCGTTAATTTACTCCTATCAGGTTACAATAACTTCTGCACTACAAATCTCAGAGTAAAAATGTTTTCCATAGCCCCAAGGCAAGTTTTGTTTTCTGGTACACTTCAGTTAAATGAGAATTTGGTTAGTTCGGAGAAGCGGTTATTTATATTTTCTTCGTACAGTACTATTTTAATAACTTTTTGAAAAGAATTCCTGACACTACTGAAGACCAGGAAACACTACACGTGTTTCATCCTAGTGCGAGACTAATCGGGTGTGTACCTTCACGACCATCATTAGGAGTTGAACCTATGACCTTTCGACTTCGTATAAAGCTCTTAAAATTCATAGTACTATGGTTCTATCCAATGGTTTTAGCTTTTAATGTTATGCCACTACAATCATCCGTTTCCAAATATGAACTCTACTGGTCACGATGCATCAGCTACTCGGATTCAAGGAATTCACTTTCAAAATAAATTACTATTATAATTTAAATATAGTTTTATGTTGATTATTTTATTCCATAGTTGATACTCGTCACGAATCGATCTTAATTATTAAAAACAAATAGATAGACGTAATTCAATTAGAATTACTAATAATTTTGAAGTTTGACTCATCAAATGTAAATAGAAATATTGACTAGAAATTTATTTTATTTACTTACTAATTATAGTAGTAAAGACTGGGGTATATAATTTGTCAGTATCTCTATTGATCGTTTGGTTGATTGGTAGAAATAAAGAAAAATATATATTCACTGATTTGTTCTACACTATATATATGTACATATATATGGCAGATAATTCATGGAAGTTATCTTTATGGAAAGAATAAAATGAATAACAATTATATAATTAAGAATAAATTAATGGTGTTAAACATTCAGATAGTTGAATTCATGAGTCGATTAAAGCCGCGGCAAGTGAAGTTCAACTGTGTCTAGTGTAAAGGCAATTTACTCACTGAAGACAATGGTGGATGGTAGCGCAATATCGTGGATTGGTTGAATTTAGTCATTAAAGTCTTTGGATGCCGACTCATTGGTCTAGAGGTTAAGCGTCCGCCCATGAGACCGAATGTCCTGGGTTCGACAGGTGTGTGTTGAGTCGTGAATGCGCACTTCTAAAAAGTCCCATACTAGGAAGAAACAGCTATCTAGTGCTTACAGGAAATCCATGGTGGTCTAGCTTTAACTGCCTCTACACTAGAAACGGTTGAACTTCAATTGCCACGGCTTTAATCGACTCATGAATTCAACTATTAAAAATTACGATTAATTATTCAGTCTCTCTTTTTATATGTACATGCTAAGTGGACTCCAGGAATATTCAATTAATATGTTCTAGATAAGATTATATATTCATTATAGATTCCACTGTTAATCATGTATCAAATATAATAAATGAGTAATTATGAAAACAGTTAGAATGGAAAGAAGATTACTTTTATCAAAATCAGATAAAAGCTTACAATTAGGCAATTATAGAAATAGACATATTCAATGTAAATACAGATCTCCTATGAAATAGATATCGAAATCTTCTATTCTCACTAATTCATCTTGTCCTTAATAATTTTGAGCAATGGATACAATGAGAATTGTTGTATTAAACTACCTTAATTTCTTTTTTCTAAAAAAGACAAGAAGAAATGAGTCATACATATTTGCTTTAACAGAACTGTACTGTAATCTATCGAAATACACCTTTATATCTTTGTATTTATATTGTGTTTGTTCTCTCAAATGTTTGTTATTCTATGTATTGGTTATGTTCAATATTATTGTCATATTCTAAACAATCCTAAGTAATGTCAATCAACGGATTAATAATAAAAAACAACAACCCAATCAACTTTAATAATGTAAAGAAAATGTTCACAATTCTATCTAGTCTATGTATTTATACATAGTTAACTTGAATTAAATGTTCATAATTTGTGGCATATATATATATATATATATATAAATATGAGAGAAACTTAATTTCTAATGTAGCAGACTAAATGGCCTTACAAGGTTATATTTTACTTTTCTACCTGAGGTTTGTTTCAGGTCAAGGTCAGACAAATACAACACCAGTATGCATGCTTATATTGTCAGCATATTCGAATGAGTCATCTTCAATAATTAAGATGTCTATTGTACCTTATACATATAGACATATATGTATATATATAATCACTTTTTAGCTTACGTAATTATATAGTTAATAACGTTTGAAAAGTTAAGTTATCTAGACTGAAGTGTTGTTCATAAATCAATGTTCAAATAATCATCTGAAGAAATTGAAATAAAGTTGTGGGCATATTAAACGTTGACCATATTATTTTTAATTGACACTAAGCTGAAGTTAATTGATCAAGTGTTAACACATTAAATCATCGTACTTCTCCCATTGTAGTTATTCAGTTAACATGACTCATAATTCCTTGAAATAGATTTGGGAACTAGTATTGTCTGATTCTATCTTACCAAATGTATATTCAAAGTTTTAGGGAATATACCATATTAACATACTATTATATACTTTTCATAACTAAACATTTTATGGATCGATAAAGTCCTAGAATCGAGTGAATGACTAAATAGCTTTCTTTAAACATATAAAAAACAACTAAAATGATTTATGTTTCATTTGTGTGTGAGCATTGAATTATGATCTATCTCTTCCACTATATGTGCCTTCCGAGATCGCCAAGATACTTTTATAAAGTCAAACGCATGTTTTAGTAAAGTTAGTGGCTAGCAGTGGGATCCAGGATGTGTTTCGTCCTATTTAGGATTCGTTCGTTGAATAATACCTTCATTTCAGTGTTAATATTCATGCTGAAATTTGTATCTGGTGCAAATACACACTCATTATTCACTGAATTACTGAGTTCAGATAGCCCAAAATCGTTATATGTGTGAGTTGTTCCATTTTGATGGAGTTTTGTTCTCTAAGCTGGATGGTTTGGTCGTGGAGCTTTCATCGTTATTCTGAACGACATGTTTGTAACCACTAAATGATGAGAACCTAGCGAAATCAAATGGATTCATCTTATTCTAATGAAATCATTGTTCTAGCTTTCTTTATGTTGATAAAAAAAGAATTAAGCGTATAAAAAAGGGGACATATTATAGTGTTTACTTTTTGAAACTGTGCAACTGTTACAGTAAATCATCCTAATTCAGATTGATTCCAAGTGGATTGATTGAATTTATCAATTGATCTTTTTTGATTGAGATCATGAACTGATTAATGTTAGACCACCATTGGAAACCTGAAAGCACTGAACGGCCGTTTTGTCCCATTGTGGGACTCCTCAGCAGTGCGCATCCGCGATCCCGCTCGCGTGATTCGAATGGCTTTAGAGATTTTTGGTATTTATGTTATGACTTGAGCTGAATTACATGTTCAAACTTCATTTCAATCCGATAGTTTAAAAATCACCATTAGGTACTGTTACATCTGGTTTGTTTTCCATCAATTTAGTTAAACATAAGATATTCAATTATACTGATGATAAGTTTGTAAACGAAGAACTTAAGTTATTATCAGTTTAGGGGTTGTGGAGATTGTTAAGTTTTTGATTGAGATCATGAACCGATAGATAGTGGTCTAACATTAATCACTTCATTATCTCAATCAAAAACTTAACAATCTCCACAACCCCTAAACTGACAATTGATCTTTTGTAAAGAAAACATGTATCAACAAATTTATCATGTTGCTCAGTATTATCAACAAAAATAGAAACATTATAATGATTACTGGTGAAAAATCCACTGAAATTCATGCACGAAATATGTTACTTAATGTAGAAATGGTCTTAAAACTTCTACGATTGGAAATAAAAAATCAAATGAACTTTTTACACATAACATTTAGTTTTGAGATGGTGGAGAAGATTTGTAGCCCAGGTGGATGATTTTGATGGAGTTTTTTTTTACATGATATGAATATAGAGTTATTGTATATTTTGAACTGGGAATTCCTAAATTACCATTCAATACAACATGTTTATCTAGTATCTAGTCATTATTATATTATTAATATTATTATTATTATTGTTATTATTAAAAATAATTATCTAAAATCTATTTCGAATGATTGTTTCAGTATTATGTAACTTGAAGAAATATATACTAATAAGTTGCTGTACCGAAACTATTGGTTTAATTTGTTCATACTAGAGTCCCATCATTCAGTTTGCATATGTTCATTTATGGTTTGATCTGATTATGTTGTGTACCCTATCTAGTGTCACATATATATTGTAAATGGTTTAGATTTTTAGTAGGAGTATAAAATCAAAGTTAGAACATTGTGTAGTAATGTTATTAATTTTAGAATTTGTTATTCAACTATAACTATCGAGTAATGATTATTCATGTAAAACCCATTAAAGCTTTAGGTCACTATTCAGAACAACTTGTATACTGAATTTTTCTTTTTTGTTCTGTCTTCAGGTTTCAACAGTCGGTGCAAGGTTGAATACGCGGTCATCTATCCTTAATATCTGGTCATAAGCCTGCTTACCAACCACAACATATCTTGTATAAATAATAGGCTGTTATTATTATTATTGAAACCATAATAATAGTTATTATATTTTGTAGACTGTTCTAAGCTGAGGCATCATTGAAAACAAGAAAGAACTTGTCAATTTTATGTTCTAATATAGGTTTCCTCGATGATGGGCATACTCGACCCCGCCAGGAATCATTTATATCTCACCAATCAATCCGTTCTGCACAGAAAAGGTTCGTCTTTGTCCTGTTTCAATTTTATTATTATTATTATTATTATTATTATTATTATTATTATTATTATTATTATTATTATTATTATTATTATTATTATTATTATTATTATTATTATTATTATTATTATTAGTTTCTTCATAGAAAATGATTATAAAATGGTTGATAAAAGAATTAGTAGTAGATAATTGTACTACTTATAAATTATAAGTAACACGATTACGATACTAATTACATGGTACGTCTTTGTAAATGATCATTCAAACAATTAAATATAGAGAACATATTCAGCTATCATGTTGCTTAATGAACTCAATGAACTGACTATATAGTATCTCTTTGGAGTACTTTCTTTGAATTCTCTTCTAGCTAGTAAAATGAATATTACTAAAGAGTTAATGGAGAATGTGATGAATTTAGTTTGAATAAACAATACTAATTATGTTTCTCAGTTTTACATTTTTAATTATACTAAATATAAATATCTAGTATTGTTTTAAGGACTAAGGTTGTCTGTTAGATTTTTAATATTCAGAATCTATATCACATCTTTAGTTTCGACCATGTTCCTGTTATTCTGTAGATGAATACTGAATATTGGAGTGTCATTTTTGTTAGGGATTTCATTTCAAGTGTCTAGACTTATCTTCAACTGTCTGCTGTGAATATGTAAGTATGGTGTAGCTCAACATGCCAGGAGAAAAACATATTTATATTTAAAATTAGGGCTTTAGATAAAATATCTAATGAAAATTGCACTGTTATATGTAACACTCTCATACTAAATTAGAGAAATACTGAAAACAACACTTATTAAATGTCCAAAGAGTTTCTAATAATGTCAACTGATTTCATTTTTGTATCCATCAATAGTATACACACGTGCGTATATGTTGTCATATATCTTCTGAAAAGAAGCATTGCTAGTCTAGATCATATTAGAGTATATTCAAAAACTAGTACTTATTGAGTGGATATTTCGTCTCCACTTTAGACTTCTCATCAATGTTTACTTACCAGATGATTCGAGACTTTACTATCACTCAGAGAGGATTCTTTCCGAAATCACTAAGTTTAAAATTAGTAGACCATACCTTAAATTTCAATCAGTTAATAGTACTAAATTATATCTGACTAAGTTCTCTAGACAGATCAGAGTTTCATATTCTATCCTATCTGATAAATAGTTATATATGTTAACGACACAACTATCTGGTAATACACTTGTTTCCAATGTGTTCTTTTAAAAAAGTATTTTCAATCTATGATTATCATAAATTAAATTAAAAATTGTATGAAATTTCCTCAGAATCATTTCTCACTAAATAATCTCATGATTAATTTACAGTTTTTGTTATCTTTCAAAATTTCAATGTATTAAGTAGTGCTTTACATCAACATCTATAACTACAAATCTCATTGATGAACTTGTTTATTGTTTAAGTATCCAGTTCAAAATTATCTGTTGTTTGTTTGTTATTTGCTTTTGAAAACTTATCTTGATAAGTAACACAATCATTGGTTCTATGTATTTTAAAGTTTATGTAAAATTTGTTGTTTCATTCCATGTTTATGTTTTGATTTGATTCATATTAAATGGTTGATTAAAAACTCTAATCGATCTACATATTTTACCAGTTAGCAATTTTCAACAAAGTGTGCTTGGAATCTTGAAGGAACTAATACTTCATATAGGATATATTGGGCTCTCAAATTTATAATGATTGTATCCATGCTGAAGTTAAATACATGATATAATAACAGTTCAATATTCTCCTTGTATATATTATCTGAATACAAGTCCTTGTTTTCTGTTAAATGGATATTCGTCTCCATGAGTGTAAAATATGGTTCTATTACTGATGAGATTTAGTTTTCAAGGATAGAACATCAAATCAGATTTATTTGTACTTAAATTCATTTAACGAACATTCCATGAAACAAAACAAGTCTTTATGTGTTCTGCTGATAGTTTTTGTAGACGATACCAGTCTTATTCCATGACAAGTTTAATGTTAAACAAAAAAAATCTAAAAAAAATTGAATCGGTAAATCTAACATTTTTTAAGTTCATAAGATTGTCAATCTGGTGTAGAGAAGACTAAATTTTAAATTTCTATGTTACAGATTTTACCCAACGGTAATGCTATAGTCATGAACTTCTAAAGCCCCTCAAATACGAAGGGGAAGTGATAAGAGCTTAGCAATACCGGACGTCCATACATACAGTGCTTTAACAATGGTCTCTAAATAATGGAACCTTTAGAAAAAAGAGAAAGTACAATAAAAACTGGATATTCTTAAAAGTTAAAAATTGAAGTATATATATGCTGTATAAATGTAGCAACAAAACATGACTCTAAAGCATATGGGAAAACCTTAGGTCCTCGGTAGAAGAAACAGTAATGGGATATTTTTAAAAAAGGATGAAAGAAAATCCATGACTACACTTGAACAGAGTTTGACCAAATTTATTTTAATTATGCTGTGTAGACGACAACGTAAATTTTATTGAAGCAAACCTGAATATCCCTTCGTCTCGAAGCGTAGATTACTGATTTTAAAAAAGAGCATTGAACTATATGAAAGAAGTCCTTTATGTTCATATGTGCCTAAGCAGCTGAGAAGCATAATTGGTCCAAACACATAAATATATGTCATAACATTCATTGCATAACTATATAGGTGGTTATTGAATTGTATTATCCATGACATAACTGGATTTTAGTACACATTCTTTTTATAAATTGAGCACATGTCAAATCTTAGGAGTAATTAAACGAGCATGAAAGGTTTATACATATGACATAATTGAATTTGTTTATGCGTCAGGTAATTTAAATGTTTTTTTGCAACACAATATAACTTAAGTTCTTTGTTTACAAACTTATCATCAGTATAATTGAATATCTTATGTTTAACTAAATTGATGAAAAACAGACAAGATGTAGCAGTACCTAATGGTAATTTTTAAAGGTATCAGTTTGAAATGAACTTTGAACATGTAATTCAGCTCGAGTCATAACATAAATATCAAAAATCTTAAGCATCTGGATTACCCGTTCCTGCCATCCAGATATTTCAACAAGTTATCTATTTTTATTTGTTTTAATATATCAATATGTTTATTAATCACATGATGTATTCTGCTGCGTTTCTGAAAAGTGTACAACCTTTCGTTGTCAAAGTTACAAAAAACTCAAAAAGAGATCATGTGGTTGCTGGCAATATACAACGAAAAGCATGTACATTATTCAAATGTTCGTTTACTGGACTGCTAACATCTAACTGGCGATCACTCAATATTTATCACTGGGACCGACCAAGAAGGAAGAAACGGAAACTTGTTGAAATACTTTGTGCTGAGAATTCTATATTGTACCAAAATATAATATTGAATAAAGCTGGTAATAATAATAATAATAATAATAATAATAATAATAATAAACAGTAGCCTCTACAGTTAACTAATGATGAGTTGACTTGATGTAAGATGCTATTTCGATGAAAAATGTTTTACATATGTGGTAATGAGTTTGCGATGCTCTTAATTTTAACGTTATTAAAATAAATATATTCAATGTTTATAGTAGGGAAGGAATTTGACACTAAAATCGCATTTCATGATGCTTTATTAATTATAAGAGAATAATGATACGTTAAAAAGTACTGATTGAAGGGGTTTTGTGAAGATTTACTTCATTTCAAGGTTGTTTTCTTGATAGTTATCATTGGAAACCAATAGACGTTGGACAGATATCCTAGTATGAAACAATACGGCAGTAAATATCCATAAACCAACCAAGGTCTCATGTCGAGGACATTCAATACTTGTGATGAGTGCTTGACTTTCAGACCATTGTTATGGTATCCAATGATTTATGTTTTTAAATTTTAATGTTCTCAATATTGCATGCACTTAAACCCACTAAATTTAACTGTCCACAAGCGTCTATATCAAAAATTTTCTTAGTTATTTATTTAACTAGCTGTTTTGTGTCTAATCCGTATGACAACACAATGGTAGAATGAACTTCATTGTCTTACTGAATTAATTATTCTATGATTTAATGGGTGTAATAAGGTTAAAACCAAGGGATTTACACAGAATCACACACATATAAAACCGTAACTGTGGCCTTAGAAACGTCGTGTTTTTCATTCATATATATCATTTTCTTTAAGTTGATGAGTCATATGTTCAGGTCAAGGTCACTCTGTAGGTGAGACTTCTATCTAATGAGAAATTCTCTCTACTGATGAATATATATATACTGAATCATCATGATAACCATGAACAATTTCACATACATGAAAATTTCTATACTCATTAGACCACCATTACTGATTTGTCAGATTAAGAATAAAACATAATTAAAATAACCCATAGTGTCATTTAATAAGAATTCTCTTTTTCTTATTCAATAAAACATAACATGACAACAGTATACATGTTTAGATAAGATTATCTTGGTTTATTAAAATTGATTTACTTGTTATCTAGAGGGCTTTGATTCGTAATGTTTTTTTCCTATGAACTTATGTTTCAATTAGTTTATTTTAACCGTTGTAATTCACACATAAATCTCTTAGCGAGTAAGTAGTGGAAAAGGTGTTATGCTGATATTATATAGCTCTTAAAAATTCCATATTTTTCACTATATAACCAAAACCCATTTAAATAAACTAAGTGCTTTTAATTGAGATCATGAATCGGTTGATGTTAGACCACCACTGGAAACCCGGGGGGCATTGGACGGCCGTTACGTCCTATTATAATATTCCTCTATAGTGCGCACTCACAATCCCTTTCACGGGATTCGAACCCATGAACCTTCAGTCACGCACACGAACGCCTAATTCCTAGACCAATGAGCTGACACCCAAAGGTGTTAATGTCTAACTTCAACATATCCACGAAATTGCGCGACCATCTTCGATTGTCTGAGATAGATACGTATCTTTACATGACATGAATTATCATGTGCGATTAATAATTTTTTACTTTAACCAATAGGTAATGTTAATCATTGTGTACGGTTACCTCATGGGTGATTTTCTGACGCAAATAAAAATATCGACAACTATTGAAGTCTTATCTCTTGGAATTGAAAACAAAATTTCACTGCGGCCAAGATAAAGGTGCCAGTCTTCCAAAATAATACACAAATAATTGGATACGATTGTGCTGGTATACCATCGTGTTGGTTACTCGATCAAGAAGCAACATATAATTGGTCAAAAGTGATGAGATGACTAG